CAGTACTGGGTGTGTCACTGGGGGATGCACAAGGTGTCAGCTCTCACGGAGATCACATTCTAAAAAGAAGAGGACCATGAAAAGTAAAACTGACAGGGATAGATTCTAAACAGGATTAAAACAGGCCAAGGTGACTGGTTTCCATGTTGGAAGAGCACATGTTAGGGAATCAGAGGACATGGTTGAGTGTGTGTGACCTTCCATGGTACCTCCAACCTCTCTGAACCTCAGTTTTTTGCTATCTGCATCCTGGAGGAGATGGAACTTCTTCCCTAAGCATTTCCCTGGTCTAAGATGCGAGTCCATGCCTCCCCCTCAGGGGCCTGGCCCCACTTGAGACTCTGGGAGGCGGGCAAAAGAAGGACTGAGGAGGCCACAGCTTGCCCCACTCCCTGGGACCAGAAGCAGAGATGCAGGAAGGACTCCAGCCCCAATGTTGGCAGTGTATTCTGTTTCCTGCAGGCCCTGTTCCGGGGGACCTTCCCCTAGAGTTGCCAGTCCTCGTCCACTTCCCTTAATAGTTCGAAGCTGAAATGAGAGGTTCTGCCTCTACCCACTGGGTAATCCCAGACAGGCCTTTCACCTCTCTGGGCCTCAGTTTCCCCAGCTCGGACCTTCCTGGCATCCAGGAAAGGCTCTCTCAGTGGGCCTCCAGATGGTAGCAGGGTCGCCATGGTGACAAGCTGACCTGCACCCAGAGGGCCCATGCAGGGTGATGGGGCCTTGGCGGGGCTGTTTATTGGGAGAGAGCCGGCGAGGGAGGCCTGTGGAGGGAACGTGCTTTACCCACAGAAGCAGCCTGGGTCGGGTTGCGAGTCTGGTTAATGCCTCCCTGCATTAGGCCTGTCGCCTGTTGACAGGATTTTTTGTTTAACTGGAGGCATAAGAAAACAATAACATCTGTCGGCATGAGGAACGCTGTAGCAGCCCTGTGAGGAGAGCTCTTAAGGAGGTGGGGAGTCAGGAGGCTAAAGTCTGGGCTCTGCCACGTGAACTGGGTGACCCTGGGCAAGTGCCTTCTCCGTGGGCCTCGGTCTTGCCGTCTGGCAATGAGCAGGCTGCACCACAGCTGGCCAACTCCAAGTGCATTCCAAAGAGCATCTGCATCAGGGTTTCCCCAGGAGCCTGTTAAATTCAGATCGCAGGCCTTGTCCCACTCCACTAACCCAGGGTCTCTGGGGGAAGAGGCCCGTGAACCACTGTGTCCTGAATGTGACTTGGGAGGGCCTGCATCATGGGGCAAGAATGAGCACTGTGGTTCCCACATGTCAGCATGGGGTGTGGAACACAAGAAGGGTTAGCTGTCCTTATGAGCTAAAAGTCAAAAGGATATGCGTCAGAATGTTAATAGGTGGTAATTCTAGTCATTTCAATTGTATCCTTTTTTCTGTTTGACTTTCCGGCACTTGCTGATTTTTCTATACTGAACATGTATAGCAGTGTAACAGACAAAAATAATTACAGACCAAAGAGGTGAAAGACTTATATGCTGATAACTATAAAACATTGATATAGGAAACTGAAGATGATTCAAAGAGATGGAAAGATATCCCATGCTCTTGGATGGGAAGAATTAATATTGTTAAAATGGCCATCCCACACTCAAAGCAATCTATAGATTTAATATGATCCCTATCAAATTACCCAAGATATTTTTCACAGAACTAGAACAAATAATCCTAAAATGTATATGGAATCACAAAAGACCCAGAATTGTCAAAGCAATACTGAAGAAAAAGCATGAAGCTAGAGAAATAACCCTCCCAGACTTCAGACAATACTACAGAGCTATAGTATTCAAAACAGCATGGTATTGACATAAAAACAGACATATGGATCAATGGAAAAGAAGAGAAAGCCTAGAAATAAACCCATACACCTGTGGTCAATTAATCTTCAACAAAGGAGTCAAGAATACACAATGGAGAAAAGACAGTCTCTTCTGCAAGTCATGTTGGGAAAGCTGGACAGTTCATGTGAATCAATGAAATTAGAACGCTTCATCACACCATACACAAAAATAAACTCAAAATGGCTTAAAGGCTTAATTATAAGACATGGCACCATAAAGCTAGGAGAAAGCAGAGGTAAAACATTCTCTGGCATAAAGTGTAACAAAGTATTTTTTAGATCAGTCTCCTAAGGCAAAAGAAATAAAAGCAAAAATAAACAAATGGGACCTAATCAAATTAAAAGCTTTTGCACTGCAAAGGAAACTATGAACAAAATGAAAAGACAGCCTACGAATTTGGAGAAAATATTCGCAGATGATGTGACTGAAAGGGCTTAATTCAAAATATACAAACAGCCCATACAGCTCAATTAAAAAAATGGGCAGAAGACCTAAATAGAGATTTCCCCAAGGAAGACATACAGATGGCCACTAGGCACATGAAAAAATGCTCAATATCACTAATTATCAGAGAAATGCAAATCAAAACTACAATGAGGCATCACCTCACACCAGTCAGAATGGTCATCATCAAAAAGTCTACAAATAATAGACACTGACGGTGGTGTGAGAAAAGGGAACCCTCCTACACTGTTGTGGGAATGTAAATTGGTGCAGCCTTAGTGGGTAATAGTATGTAGTCTCCTTAAAAAAAACTAGAAATAGGGTTATAGCAGTACTATTTAATAAAGCTGATGGGAAGGGATAAATCAGGATTTTGAGATTTGCATATACTAACTACTATATATGAAACAGATAAACAATAGGGATATGCTACTGTATAGCACAGGGAATTATACACATTATCTTGTAACACACTATAATGAAAAAAGAATCAGAAAAAAGGATATAGGTAGATATGTATATATAACCAAATCACTTTGCTGTACACCTGAAACTAACACAATATTGTAAATCAACTATACTTCATGAAAAATAATTATGTGGAAAAATGAAATGTCTCTACAATTTGGGTTATAGTCAGTCTTCTTGGTAGGAACTCCTCTAATTGTATTTAATTTCTTTTTCTTGATCGTATGACTTTAAGCAGTGCAGGCTTACTAAAATAAGTAAAACAACAGAACACAAATGTAGGCACATGAGCAGTTGTTATCCAGCCCCTCAGCATCCCTACCCCTGGGGTCATCAATGTCAACAGGCTACGGGGAACACTCCACACTGTTCCTCTCGCTCATACACGAACACATACACCCTGGTGTTCAGTCTCTTTGGGATTTGTGTTACTGTTGCTTTTACAGAAATCAGATCATCTTGTGCATGAGCTTGCCTGCAACATATTTTTCTCTCTTAACAATATTTCCTGGACATTGCTAGGAAAGAAACCAGCTCTATTTCATTTCTTTTTAGATTTGCTCGATAAATATTTAATTTTCTTTCTTGCCTCTACAAATGGAAATAAATGAAAATAAAAGCTACTCTGAAACTGCAGGGTTCCAGTTTTAAGCTTTGAGCTGGATACAGTCCACACTCACACCCCTCCAGCCCCTGCTCCCACCTGCCTCCTTATCCCTCCCTGCATTGTTGCTGAACATGGACTCTTGCCCCACAAATCCCTACTCCTTCAAGAGCAGGAAGTGAGTCTTAATCACCTGGGCTCAACTCACATTATGAAGTAAGACCTTCTTTCTAAATGAGCATCCAAAAGCAGTAATAGCCAAAGGCAGAAGTAGCTCCCCAAACCAGTCCCATCTCTGGGCTCTGGAGAGAGACTCTGCCAACCTGGGGAGAGGGCAGCTCTTGGTTCACACAATCATCGACCGAAGCCTTAACCCAGAGTTGCGAAAAGAGGCCACATCCAGCCACAGATGGGCTGAGTTTGGCCCAACCGGCATTAAAAATTGTGCTTTAAGTTAAAACCTTTAAAAATTGGGAAATTTCACGACCTGGATTCTTGCTTGTCTCGAAAAACGCCAGGATTTGGCTACTTTGGGCCTCAGTTTCCAAATGGTTGCAACCGGCAGACACTGAGTATTGTTGACCCTTTAAGACAGGGCACTGCCCTCCAGCTCGACACAGCCCCACGGGGTCCACTCTTGTCACCTGTGTCACATGCGTGGCTTCTGCAGGCCTGTAACACTCTGCAGGCCCTCGGAGGGATCCCTCCCAGGTCTGCCTGTGGGAAGGACAGAAGGCCTGAGAGGACACTGGGAGTCCCGGAAATGGTCCTTGCCATGGACCTCCTCTGGCCCTTCCCAGCCACCCCTCTGTGACAGGAAGTGACAAAGTGACAACACTAATTAACAACAGTGACTGTTTACTGAGTGCCTACTACATCCTGGGGGCCAGGCTGACCACTTCACTTTCAGGACCTCCTGTAACCCCCTCTAACAATCCTATCTAGGAATCACAGTCTCCACTGATCTGATGAAGAAACTGGGGCTCCGAGAGCTTAGGTAACTTGTCCAATTGACACCATTACCGAGTGGCAGAGCTTGAATTCCAGCCTAACTCCAAAACCCAAGTGCGCTGCCCACTGTCTGGAGGAGCGATGATGCCTCCCCTACTTGCACGCTAACCTCACCCAGGGGAGGTGATGCAGGGCTGGGCTCCACACCCGCTTGCCCTTCCATGTGGAGACAACACAGAATGGTTAAAAGCAGGGCTTGGCTGTTAGACAGACCTGAGCTCAAAGCCCTGCTCCTGATAAAATAATTTACCTTCATGTAACCTAAGGCAAGTGAACCTCGCTGAGTCTCAGATTCCTTATATGTGAAATGGAAAAGATATTAACACCTGCCTCTTAGGATGGTTGGAGGATGGAGACAGTGCATTGACATGCTGTATCTGTACAGTTCTTGGTGGCGAGCAAAAGAAAGTGGGTCCGGCTAAAACGTGAGCAAAAGGGATAGACAGATGCGGAATACTCAGAATCCAAAGAAAAAGCAACTCCACAAATCACAACGGTGGGAACCATAGACAACACTGTCAGGGAGCCACCACTGGACAAGTCAAGCTCTCACCTCTTCTTCACCCCCATCCTTATCTCAGCGTCCTAGGAGACTTGCCTGCCGTGGGTCACAATTCCTACCTGTGTTATATGCGAGGCTCCCTTAAAGTGGAGCTTGAGAAGTGGATTCTCCTGTGACGTATTTGTTGAAAGAGTGCTGTCAGGAGGAGAGGCAGGCAGCGAAACAGGGTAGGGGAAGAAGCTGGTCAAAGATGAGGTTTCAGAAAGTCTAGTCTGCTCCCAAGGGCAGTTCTGAAGCTTGGATTACACCACGGAGCTTGTCCTCCCTTGAGGCCAGGGGGCTGGGTTTACCCTACATTAATCAGCCATTGACCACGGGCCACCCCCAGGGGGAGAGGCATAACCTGTAACCTCTCGGGCAGTTCCAGTTAATTCACCTGGGGGCAGTCCTCCGGAGAAGGAGGCAGCTGTGAGCCATTAGCGTCCGACATTCAACGTTGGATATTTGCAGCACCAGGGAGAGGGTGCACCAGCCCAGAAAGGGAGCCTGAACAGGGCAGCAGAAGCATCTGCTATGCTCCCCGTTACTGAATGCCCCAACAGCCCACACACAATGAGCCCGAGGTGATCACCTGAAAAGAAATCAGGACATTCTTTGCAAAAGAAGGAGAAATGAATACAGAAAGCTGAAGGGAAAGAGAAAAACTCACTGCACACGGCCAGCCCTGAGCCTGTCCCGTGTATAGGAAGCACCAAAGCAAGGTGATTATAAGTGTAACAAGATGTTAAAATGGAAGTGACAGCTGAGAGGACAAAATATAATAGATGCCACATTCCAGAGCAAGGTACAAGCCCAAGATGGCAATTTAGAGAGAAGATAAAAACTGGCTGTTCTCAATCCCTCACCCACACTGTGGGTGGATTTTGAAGGACTCGAAGTAGCTGAGGTTGAGGGGGAGATTTTTTAAGAGAGTGGCTGGTGTGTTGTGGATCCCCCTCCCCTCAAAAAAGAGTAATGGGGGACATTTGCCCTCCACCTCAAGATAAAAGAGTGGTGCTGTAAGTAACTACTCTTAAAGCTCAGAATGTGTCTCCTACATCTCGGTGGGCACAACAGGTTGCTACTTGACCCCTGCCTGTTCCAGTTTTTTTTTTACTATGAATAATTTAGTTTTTATTCTCTTTTCTTCCCAATCTTCCTGACCTAGTCCTTTGTTATAATAAAGGAACAATCAATAAAAGAATGTTGAGACTTCCTTGTGGTTCATACCTAAAAGGAACTTCAGAAAAGAAGTACATTTAGACTGCCTGTGCCATTTAAAAGGCAACTTTCGCACAGGGAACTATATTCAATGGCTTGTAGTAACCTGTAATGCGAAAGAATGTGTGTATATATGTGTGTGTGGATGTGTATAACTGAATCACCATGCTGCACACCAGAAACTAGTACAACATTGTAAATCAACTACACTTCGATTTTAAAACATAAAAAATAAATAAAGGGCAACCTTTGTGCTGGCCAGCTGCTTTGACTGTGGAACAGAGGAGCAGTGGCTGCACTGGGTAGCTCCATCTCAGAATTTACTGGCACAGGGGCTATGCCATCTCCGTAGACACACATGGGTCAGCTAGAGAGGGACCCGGCAGGTGCTTATTTCAGGATTTGTCTGTCAGGGACTCCTGGAGGGCAAGCTGATAGAAGCCGGAGGTCCTGAGTGTGCCTTGGGCTGAGGAAAGAGAGCCTCCAGCCGGTCAGAGGTATATTCTGTCAAGGACCTGCAGGTGAGCAGCGCCAGAGACGGGGAGGGCAGAGGGGGTCTCAAAGGGTCCCAAGAGAGGCCCTGTGAGGGAGTCTGCCCCAGACACCCACCCCGTCCACAGCACCTAGACTCTCAGTTACCTCGACAGGACCCGTCCAGGACTCCCTTCCTCTATGGCCCCAAGCCTGGAGGGTCGGAGACCAAACTTGCAAACTCAGAGCTGAGGGTAAGGCTCCCTCCCCCGACTACGGCTTCATCCAGACCTGCCTGCGAGCCCCCAGGCTGGAGGTGGGGGTCATGGGAAGAAGGCTCCACTTTCAGCTCAGTGTGAAGATGTGACCCTTTTGGGTGACTGAACTGAGACTCTATTTAGGGACTGAAAGTGGTTGTGTGACTTTTTAGGATCTAAAATGAGCAGAAAACTATGGCTCTGCACAAGTTTTCATACAGAGGCAGAATCACTTGTCACCACAGAACAAACAAAAAGGGACCGAGGGGACAAAATTCAAGCTCCTTCCACATTAAAGCCTGTATGTTCCGTGAGTTCCAATAATGGTTACTTGACAAAAGACACTGGAAGCGACATTTCAGCTATGTGGTCTTGGCAGACTGGGGCCTGAATATCAGGCCTGAAGGTCTCTCAGGAAAACCAGGCCCCGTCACGCTGGGATTGGGTGAGCCTGAGCCCAAGGTCGCCCTACTCTGTGAGACTTAGGTTCCACCCTGGGCTGAACAGCCCCAGATTTGCACAGTGCCACCTCCAAAGGGTCTAGTCCTTTAGACACATGTCACAGCCCTCAGGTGAGAGAAGGAAGTGTCCGAGCAGGCAAATGATTCGCTGAGGTCTCCAGGCTGGGTGGAAGAGGCCTTCTGGCCCGGTAGGCTCCTGACCCTGGATTTTCAAATTCTGGCCACCACATGATGGCTCCCATGGTGCTGCTCTGACATCAGGGGCTGTAAGTGATGTCTGTGGGTTATGACAGGTGGGGTAGTGTGCTGGGGTGACACACAGGCTTCCCAGGGATGACACCAGGTATGCATAAATGAAACCGAAAGCCATGGGAAGGACCTTCCAGGTCTTGTTCTGGAACCGATGACCTGCCTAGAGCTGGAGGGTCTTAATCTCCCAGCACATTTACAGACTGGGAAACCGAGGCCCATATATAGCCAGGGACTTTAAGGGGCTCATTCTGGCTCAGGCATGGGTAGATCTAATCCCTGCCCATCCTCTGGAGGGCACCAGGAGGAGATGCTTTGAGGGTGGAGAGAAAAACTCCAGCCAAGGCACCAAGCTAAAACTGGTTGCAGCAAAGCCAGAAAGAACTACAGGGCCTGGGAGGACCATGCAGAGTTTGCCAGAATTTCCTGGGTGGAAGAATCACAGAATAGAGTGGGAGATCCTAGAGATGAGCTAGTTTAACCTCCTCATGTTTGCAGGTGGGGACACTGAGACTCCAAAAGGCAAGATGTGTTTCCCCCAAGGACATGCCATTAGCCACCTAAGCCAGCAGCCCAAGCTCAGATAGCAGGAATCCAGCGACCGGAATGGGTATTCAAAGATGTTAACTATATTTTCCAGGGACAACATGATATTCTGTAAGAACAGCCTTTCAAATAGGCATATCTTGTGACACTTACAGGAATTTGTCATAATATGCATGCAAAGATATATGTAATAGAATGTTTTATTAATAATAATGATAACTATTATAAAAATTCCCAAGAATAGGGAGATTGGTTAAGTGAGTTATGATAGATCTGCTTGAATGCTATGCAATCTTTAAAATAAAAAATATCTTGTAGATCAGGAGTTCTTAACCTGGGCTGCATGGATAGATTTCAGGGGACTGTGACCCTCCCACACTTGTGGGTGTGATATGGGAATGTGGATTTTTCTGGGAAGTGGAGCCACAGCTTGCTTCAAAGGGATCTGTGACCAAAATAGGTGAAAAACTAGTAGGACAGAAAAATATTGAAAAAACCTAAAAGGGTAGACAGCAGAGTATTAACAATTAGCAGCTTATGGCCAGCATTATTTTCTCTCTGCTCCCACTCAATTCCCCCTCCTGTGTCATTTCGAGAGGACTGTGAATAAGATAAGCACAATGTTACTGTCACATTTAAAACAAACAACTAACAAGAATACTTTCTTATCAAATATCCAGTAACATAAAGTAAATGATTTTCATTGACCAAAAGAAAAAAAAAAAGATAGGGGGAAAAACATCTCATAACCCATTGCTAAACAAGAAAAGTGAAACAGAGTAAGTTCTCTGGCCTCATTTTGAAAACCACGCACATCATAATGGTAACAGTTATTGGAAGTGGTAGAATTAAATGCTTTCTTCTCTTCCCCAAGCTCTCTGTATTACTTTTTTGTTCAATCTCCACCTTTTATTTTTATTTACTTATTTGTTTCTTTAAAATGAAGTATAGACTCACAGACAAAGAAAACAAATTTATGGTTAGCAGGCAGGAAAGAGGGGAGGGTGTAGCTAAGTTGGGAGTTCGGGATTTACAGATACTCACTGCTACATATAAAATAGATAAACAACAAGGACCTACTGTACAGCACAGGGAACTACATTTGATACCTTGCAGTAGCTTATAATGAAAAAGAGTATGAAAAGGCACATTATATATGTATAAATGAATCACTATGCTGTACACCAGAAATGAACACAACATTGTATTACTTTTTGAATTAAAAAATAGAAGGAAAATTTAAAAAGTGGGCTTCTTCTTCTTTTTTTTTTTGAACAATTCCCATGTCATGTTTATTAAACTGCTGAAGGATGGTGTTAACACAACAGAGTAAGACAACCTGAGAAGTCAAAAGACTACAGCACAGGTTCTCATAATCCATCCCAGTCACTAAAAGGGTAGGCTTCTTTTTAAAAGTCGAAATCCTTTGATTCAGCAATCAAGTTTCAGGAGTTTATCCTGTTCCATCCTGAGATGCAGAAGACCCGGCTCCCAGAGAAATTTGGGTCTCGGCCCCAGTCTCCCAGGGAGGAGGCTGTGAAGGGAGATAGGAGGGTCCGACCAGCTTTCCCAGCCTTTTGAGAGGAAACGAAGCAGAGGCTCTGGAACATCTCTCAAGCTCTGGTCCCTGATGTCCTGCCACCTCCATCCTCTTACCTTCCCACTTTTATCAAGCCTCACACGTTTGGGGCACTTTGCTGCTGGACTTGACAGACCAAACGAAACAGAGGCGGGCGGCAGATAACCAGAGTCCTTTCTGGCCACACATAGGCCTGTTGGCTTGTTGGGCCTGGAAGAGAAGGCGTCTTGTTTCCCCAACACATTCCACAGTCATGTCCCCCAGGCTGCTTGGCCTCCTGGCCAGATGCCCCCCAGCCCCCCAGGTCTTTCATGGTTGGGACAAAAAAGGAGTGAAAGACTTGACCTTGTTAGGATCTCTTTCCCAAAGTCTTCAGTCTCCATTTTGCTGTGTGACCTTGAGCAAGCCTCTCCCTTCTCTGGGCCTA